CACACAAAACATAAAAAAAAATTCAAAAAAGTTCATGCATATTGCAGAGCATACCTGCTTCTGAACAATTGGGTTATTTTGACTGGCCTTCCCAAGCACCCATGCAGCCATTTTCCTTGTATCTGCATCAGAATGATCAAGCTCTCGTATAACCACAACAAGCCCCCCAAGTTTGTTCAAATCTGCAAGACCCCAAGTCAACCATTTCACTCACTTCAATTTACAACCACACAAGACACAAAACCCAAATCACAAAAATCACAAATCGCACCTACCATTTGCATTATCAATTGGCTCCACAAGTATCAGAAGCTCCTCCAGCGCGCGGTGCCGATCTTCCAGAGACAAAGACGAATTGCTCAAGTCATTTATCGCAACCTGCATCAACTGCGCATCAGACGGCGTCTTCAGCTCGTCCATGAGCTGCTTTATCTCGACCTGACGGTTGCTCAGGTCGGTAGGAGACAATTTCTCAACATCTCGCGCCGTTTCTTTCAATTGAACGGGATCGGAGTGACCTATGGCCCACTGTAACATTCCTTCGAGCGAGGAGAATCCGCCGTCGGCGTCCAGGTCGGCAACAGCGGTGTCGTCGTCCCGAGCCTTAGTCTGAGTCTGAGCCAGAGCCTCCTCTTCTGCAGTGGACCAATATACCCCTCCCGACCTGTTAATATTTCGCTCTGCCCTCACCGCCATAACCATAACCATCACCATCACCACTAACATCCATGACCTCACGCGCCCCATCTCTTTCTTCTTCTTCTTCAGTGGACTGTAAAACGGACCGCTCTGCCCGTTTTTATTCTAGAAAAATAATTATACACATCATCGCGTACAACGTGCATCGTTGATCTTGGATCGGACGGTTCTTAGAAGTTTGATTGCGTGGCAATTCTTTTGCGCCTTTTATCTTTTTTGGGTTAAGCAAAACGGTGTGGATTGAAAACAAAACGACGCCGTAGCCAACTAGGAGCGCAATTAACCAACAGTAGAGTGTGCCTGTCGCTTAGTTAGGTTTTCAACCTCCTCCGAGCTCCGACTAAAATACAGAGAGGATAGAGAATAGGGAGAAGGTTTAGGGTTTAAGACCAGGCAAATAGCGAAGTAGCGAAGAGCAGCGAACCAAGACACAGAGAGAGAGAGAGAGATGGTGAGGCTCACTGCAGACTTGGTATGGAAAAGCCCTCATTTTTTCAATGCCCTTAAGGAGCGAGAGTTAGATCTTCGAGGTATTTTCTTTTCCCTCTTACGCCATTCCTAATTCTCAATTCCTAACCCTACATTGATTCTGTTAGGGTTTATAATTCAAAACTCTTTCCCCTCTTTGTTCTCAGGTAATAAGATAGCTGTAATCGAAAACTTGGGAGCTACAGAGGTCAGCAATTTACTCAACTGAATTTGTTATCGTCTCAAACCGTAGTTTATTTCATGTAGATGGTTGGTTATTTATGTGAAGCTGCTTCAAGTTACTGAATCTAGTTAAGTGATATATGTTTTCCCTTTAATCTGAACAGGACCAATTTGACACCATTGATTTGTCTGACAATGAAATTGTCAAGCTGGAGAATTTACCCTATCTTAATCGTTTGGGTACTTTGATTATCAATAACAATCGAATTACCCGTATCAATCCCAACATTGGAGGTAACTGAAATACTTTTTTCACCTCACTCTCATGCCCAGAATGTTATCTTGTGTTAGTAATTTTATATGTTTTTTGTGTGTTAAATATTAAGTGTTGAGTTGTATGTATTGCAGAGTTCTTGCCAAAGTTACACACCTTAGTACTTACCAACAACAGGCTGGTCAACTTGGTAGAGATTGATCCTCTTGCATCCCTTCCGAAGTTGCAGTTTCTTAGCCTGCTGGATAACAACATCACAAAGAAACCCAATTACAGGCTGTATGTGATCCACAAGTTAAAGTTGCTTCGGGTTCTAGATTTTAAGAAGGTGAAAAACAAGGTGAGTCATTTTTAAGTTATCAAACTCATGTTTTTCGTTTTGTGGCATGATGCTTCTTTTCTCTATGTTGGTACCAATTATGAGCTGGTATAACGTACTTATGGAACGCCCACTACTTTGTGTCTTAAGGGTGTTTGTGGTTGATTATCTTTTGCAATTCCAACTATCATTTATCCTAAACCTTAAGATGTCAGCCAGACTCCTAGTTTAGGTTACTGAAAAATAAGTTTCTGTAATGTCTGCTCACCCAAACTTTGGATTACACACTATTATTCTTATTTTGTACCTTCAAAAAGCTTTGCTCCTTTCAAATGCTTGATCTGTTGAATCAAAGGCTTCTGCATATTTTCGACCTAGTTTCACTAAAAAAGTGGAAATATGGAATGCTCCCCCAGGAAAGGTCCTGGGTTCAAGTCCTAAAAAAAAGGTGGAAATATGGAATTCTGTTCTGACTATAAGATTTAGCTAGTTCCTTTTGTATCTATTTACCTGGATTGTTTATTCTTTGGTCCTGTTCCATCAATCATAGGAGAGATTGGAAGCACAAACTTTGTTCTCATCTAAAGAAGTTGAAGAAGAGACTAAAAAGGTATCCGCAAAAACTTTCGTGCCAACTGAGGTTCCAAATGTTTCAGACGTTGCCGAGGAACAACAGACACCAAAAGTAGTTGCCCCCACTCCCGAGCAAATTATGGCTATCAAGGTAATCATAGCTATCAAGTTTTTACCTAGTTGCATCAATCATTATATTCTGTGACCAGGTGCTGGAAAACCATGTCTTTCTCACCTTGTGGCTGTTCACCATTCAATTACTTTTATAATCAAGCAGTGATGGTTTTACTTAAGAAACAACATTGTGTTGAATAGGCTTGGACTCAATGAAAATGAACAACTTTTTTTTCTTTTGAGAGAACCAGATTTTGGTTTGGGATGAACTCCTGTAAAATGGTACATTGCATGTCCATACTAAATTTTCTGCTCTTCACTGATTAATCAAATCCTACTAGTAAATGTTGTTTGTATATTGGAGTGATATCTCATACACATTACATCAGTAGTCGCTTCAAGTAAAATTAGATATTTCAAGATATCCAATGGTGGAAATTCACAGAAAATTTTATTTCTTCTGGAAAAGTAGAAAAAATTTTCTTTTGTGATATATTTATTGTTTTATTTCTGGGGTTATTCCCCTATTTTATGGCTAATATGTGGGGTCATCTTAGGTTTTCTGTTGTTTCATGTATTGTTTCATCCTTGTCCAGGCTGCCATAGTGAATTCCCAGACTCTTGAAGAAGTTGCAAGACTTGAACAGGTGCTTTTTGTAACCAGAGAAATTACTCATTGTTTTCTTGAATGTTTATTTCTTATTGTTTGTACATTGACATTTTACTCGTTTTGCATGAGTAGGCACTGAAGTCAGGTCAGCTTCCTGCGGATTTGAAAATCTTGGATGATGATAACGAGACAAATAGTGTTAAAGTAAATGATGATCAAATGGACGTCTATAGTGAAAATGAGGCTAATGCACCAAAAGATGTTGATGAACAGAAGAAAGATGAAGCAGAACCCATGGAACAGGTACGAATGTGCTTCCTATGACTTTTGAACTATCTTATCTTATCTTAATCTTTATTCTTTTCTTCATCTCTGTGATATTGTAGAAAGGTCTTGTTTTCTCTAGGTAAGAAGGTGCATTCAAGTTTGATGGTAGTAGTGTTAGTGATTCCAAATATTGCACCTGTGAAAAGAGAACCCTCTTTTAGAAGCAAGAGGGACTGTGTTGGATTACAAAATTGTCATAAAGTAAGAGCATCGGGACTGGGGAGAAGTAAATAGGATACATTTATTTTGAGCCTTTATCTGCTTATTTCTTAAGTTGAATTCATTTCACCTTAAACATACAATTATAGCTCCCATCTGTTTTGTTGGCTTAGGTTGTGTGGTGATTCTGTGATATGTTAGATTGTGTAAAAGGTTACAGATGAATCCATTTCCAGATGGATCTTTGTTGTAAATTAGTACTATATCAGCATTTGTTATGCAATATTCTATTGTCTGTATGATCCTAAATGCTGTCTGTCAAGGAAAAATGTTTGCACCTCAATGACACCCCACCCCCTCCATTCATTGCAAGTAGGTTGGTTAGTTCATATGATATGATATTTTGTTGGTATTTTTTGGTTCTAGTATTGATTTTTTTTTCTTCTCCCTTGCAGGAGTAGAAGAATCGGTTCATATTCTGGTAGCATAAAGCTTGTCCTATTTGAATCCGTTGGTGGCGACCGGCGTATTTTATGATTGGGAAATGCTGCTATTTCTGGAACTTTGTTCGATATATCAGGGACTTCTGCCTGTTAGACATGAGAACAACTCTTTTGCCGTAGTCAACTAATGCTAGTTTTTCCCCTCCTAACATTTGTCTGGGAGGAGAGTGGGAGCCCGAGTGTTTGATTCATATCTATGTATTCTATGATACAAGTTTTACTCCGAGATTCAAGTAGATTGCACCATTTTTAGTCCTGTTTGGGCCATTATAGTTATTATAAACTGTTTAATGTTATATATTCGTTTTTCTCTCATCTCATATTTTCTTTAATTATCAAAATACAAACAGAAAAATTTAAAACATCATCACCTGGGTAAACATTGGCTTTTTTCCTATTAGATCCAAAAACATTTTTCCTGTTGATAAAAAATAAAAGGCTTGATCAGATTAAAAAGGAAGAAGGAAAAGGGTTGATTTTCTTGGCTTGGTTTGGTGTGTCTTCATATTCTTTACTTGGAGGGGTTTGCTGTTGCTCTTAAATTGAACTCCCACAGATATCGTATTATGATAACAATGGAATAAATATCTTAAATTAGGGTGCCATCCTTGGGTGATGGGGGAAGATCACACATGTTCAACCTAGTGCTGCCCGTATTATATTCGTCACTTACATTTCAAGTCATTTCCTCTTGCAATGATCCCTTTTTGTTTCCCTGGTCAGTTGTTTCTTCATCAAGCTGTCTTGGAAAGAAGTGAAAACAGGAAATTCTTTGCTCCAGTGCCGGGGAAATTATGTTCGTGCTCATTGTGTGGTCTTGTGGAGAACAAGATGCAAAAACCAGAGCAGCCAAACAAAAAGATGTGAACAAATAAAGCTATTGCTGCCCTTTCATCTTATAACTGTAATTATGATAGCCCAACTGGCATTGGCTCTAGTATGTCTTGTTGCGGCATGGATGCCATTTCTGTGCTTGAGTCCTCTAAAGGGATGGTCTTGGTCACGGACCTTATGTTCATGGCGCCTAAAATTTCCCACTCTTTCCTTCAGCAGCCACAAGCACAGAGAGATATCTTCCGAGTCTGTCAGCCGTCCTTGGCTCACAGCCACCACCTTCGGTGGCCAGTGCTGCACTCACGCACATCACGAACAAGAATGTTCTGAATTGAACGAGGATGATTTGAAGGTATTGGCTTCTCACATAGACGAGACCGATGGCAGTCCACCATGGAAGCTCATGATGGAGCACTCTACCCCTACTTTGACATACCAAGCTTGGTACAGGGATCCACCGGTAATATAAACCCAATTAACATGTCCATTATTCACCACGAATGTGTCTTTCTTTGTAACACTGTTTTCAAATTTCAGTTAGGCCCTACGCAGTACCGTACAAGAACCGTATTCGAAAATGTATCACCTGAGTTGCTGAGGAACTTCTTCTGGGATGATGAATTTAGACCCCAGTGGGATAACACGCTCATTCACTTCAAAACTCTCAGAGTTTGCCCCCAAACTGGTTCCATGACCGTCCACTGGATTAGGAAGGTACCACCACATCTGATTTTACACACATTTTGCTAGAACTATTGTGTTTTTCTCCCAACCCAGATTTTTAATTGCAATTAGGGTTTTTCTCCCTAAATGCCACAGTTGCCATTGTTCTGCAGTGATCGAGAATATGTCATAACCCGGCGTATCTGGGAATCTGCTTCTGGATATTACTGCCTATCGAAGGTTTGATTTTGTCTAAAATATTTCAAGCTTTCTTTCCATAGGTCCTGTCCAGTGACAAAATGCCATCTTCTGATTATATGTTTTCATATATTCAAGGGAACACCATATCCACCCATACCAAGGTCTAAAAGACCAAGACGGGTAGACAATTATTATTCGAGTTGGCATATAAAATCAGGTACGTATTTTAGATTTTGGTATATTTCTGTTTACCCAGTTAGAAATCCTTTTTTTGAGTAACATACAGATATCGAAACAACTATTTCAGTGAAGCCTAGGAATGGAGAGCAGCATAAAATGGCATCAGAAGTGCTTCTGTTTCATCATGAAGATATAGGCCTCCCGAGGGAGGTTGTGAAGATGGGTGTTAGGGCAGGAATGTGGAGTCTGGTAAAGAGACTGCATCTGGGCCTGCAGATTTACCAAATGGCAAAGGAAAATGATGGGTCTCCTTCGAATTATGCACTTATGGCAAACATAACCACAAAGATTAAAAATTAGATGATTTCTTCCCACCATTGTTTTGAGTGGCGAAAACATCACAAGTGCAAAAAGTGAAGTAAAATAATAGAGAGCTCCCTCAGAACTTGTAAAATCTTCAACATGACTTTGATTTAGACAAGGCTGAAACTTATATATATTTGGCGTTCAATCATTGGGAGCTGCATCAAATCAAAGACACTCTTTTTCACATTTCCAGTAAAACATTTTCTTTGGTCAAAAAACTTTTTCAACTCAAACGTGATGCACATAATGAAAAGAACGAATGAAAACGAAAGGGAAAAACAACAAAAAACACAAAGAATCAAAGATACACATACATGTCAGAATTTGTTCGCATAGGGGAAAAGGAAACGAAAGAATGGCTGAAAAGAAAAGACAGGCCACGGAGAATATCAACGAACAGACAAATCAAGCAAACAAAGGGGGTTTGGAGAAGATGTCCCCTTCAAGTTCAGCCATTAGACGGCGGCTGCGTGATTGTTTGTTCTCGAATGAAAATGAAGGCCCCTTTTATAGCCAAAACATCGTAACCGTGATGAACTCTAGACCTAACCCGGGTTTTTTTGTTGTGTCATTTTTGTGGGCTTGTGGTTTTTGTTGGGTCTATTTTCTTGTGGGCTTCTTCTTTGGTTCTTCTTTTCTAAAAAAATAAATAAAATAAAATGAAACGAAATTATGGTGTGTTTATTAATCAGGAATTGAATTCCACCAATAGAGAATTCATGTGTTTACTTCATATCAAGGAATTGAAAAGTAAGTGGGGCTCACACAAAATTAGGAATTGAATTTCTGATTTTGAAGGAATTCAATTCTTGGGTGGGAGGTGGTATTCTAATTCCTGAAGAACTAACCCATTAGGAATTCATCTTTTTCACCCATTATATCCTCAAACAATTTTAAAATTTTAAAATTTGTCATCTACTTTAACCTAACAACTAGGACATTTTAGTAATTAGTATCACTCCTATCCCAATTCTATATGATTTAGTAAACAATTTCAATAGGAATTTGAAATCTAACTCCCCTCAATCCATATGGTTTAGTAAATAATTTCAATAGGAATTTGTAATCTAATTCTCCTCAATCCAACTCCTCCTCAATTCAATTCCTCATAATTCATTTACGGATTAGTAAACATGTCATGAAAGTATTAGAAATGATGTTGCTCACATCACACGAACTAATAAGATAATCTGTTTCATGTTTAATCATGTGACGGTCCGTTTGGCGACTACATCTTAGTGAAACTCAAAATACACTTCAATGAATTGTGATTAATTTATAACTTAATAGAGAATGATGAACTTGTCAATCTAACAGCCACAACCGCTCATAGAATACAAGTTCAAATTGTAGGAAAATCCTCTTTTTTTTTGTATTTGATTCCTTCTTTCAATGTTTTTAAACTTTTATCGAGAAAAAAAAGGTGAATGCAATATAAACATGTCATGAAAGTATTAGAAATGATGTTGCTCACATCACACGAACTAATAAGATAATCTGTTTCATGTTTAATCATGTGACGGTCCGTTTGGCGACTACATCTTAGTGAAACTCAAAATACACTTCAATGAATTGTGATTAATTTATAACTTAATAGAGAATGATGAACTTGTCAATCTAACAGCCACAACCGCTCATAGAATACAAGTTCAAATTGTAGGAAAATCCTCTTTTTTTTTGTATTTGATTCCTTCTTTCAATGTTTTTAAACTTTTATCGAGAAAAAAAAGGTGAATGCAATATAAACATGTCATGAAAGTATTAGAAATGATGTTGCTCACATCACACGAACTAATAAGATAATCTGTTTCATGTTTAATCATGTGACGGTCCGTTTGGCGACTACATCTTAGTGAAACTCAAAATACACTTCAATGAATTGTGATTAATTTATAACTTAATAGAGAATGATGAACTTGTCAATCTAACAGCCACAACCGCTCATAGAATACAAGTTCAAATTGTAGGAAAATCCTCTTTTTTTTTGTATTTGATTCCTTCTTTCAATGTTTTTAAACTTTTATCGAGAAAAAAAAGGTGAATGCAATATAAAGGGAAGATAACCAAAATATATTATTCTTAAAAATACGAGAAGATAGGGAATTTGGAAAACAAAAGGCAATATATTAACATTAAAGTAAGAAAAGTGATGTAGAATCAAGGTCTAAAATATAGATGGTTTTGGAAATATTGGTGGTCCAAGAACACGGAAAATTTGATGGAAAAATATCATGAAATTATCGATATCAATAAAAATTGGATAAAAACCATGAAAATATTAAGAAAAACTTGGAAATTTTTATTGAAACATTAGAGGATGTTTATTTAGTCAATTATCTATTACTTTATCACAAAAAATTGGAAGGAAATGCATTTTATGATGGGTTTAACTAATTTAAGTTGATTATATAGCAAGTTGACAAACACTGCAAGTGTAGAAAATATGTAGTAATTAATGAAAGAAGATTAAACTCACCATAATCATTTATTTGTAATGATTTACTACAATATTTTATACTTTATACATTGCATGGTAAGATACATGAGTGACTTAGTACCACATAGAGTTCCTATAAGGTTCAAATTTGAGTTATTTACACTAACACCCCTTAAGGTTTGCGGTTTTTTCACAAAACGCCTTGAGGTTTTAGAAATTACCCGAATACCCCCTGAGGTTTTAAATTGTTTTCACAAAACTCCTTTTCATTGATTTTTTATCCAAAGATTGATGATTTTATTTATAAAAAAATTCTCCAAATGACAAAGTTGGCCTTTGAGACTATATTGCATATACTTCATTGAGGTTAATTTTGTCATTTGCTGATTTGCATAAGTGTTTTTTTTTTCCCCAATGAAATCATCAATTTGTGGACAAACAATCAACGAAAAAGGATTTTATGAAAACACAAGAAACCTCAGGAGGGTGTTAGTGTAAATAACTCTTCAAATTTTTCACTGTCTTCATCATCTTGATATTATCAATATTATAGCAATATTATCACGATATTTTGGCCAAATGTTGTTGAAGTGTGTGAGAAATTATCGACATCAATATTTCCTGATATTATCGATAATCATACGATATGTGTATGAATATGTTTCAAAATTTCCTAGACTCGAAAAAATGATAATATGAACGATATTTCATTTGTATTATCAATATTTAGAAGTATAGATTAATCAGATTATAATCACGTAACTTGCTGTGAGATGGCATAATGAAACCTTCCTCCAAGTCCGCTTGGCAAATTTCCATGGCCATGAGGTATCATCCAATTGCATTACGCATTAACTCAATTTTGGCAGCTACCGAACCAGATATGCATCCACTGAACAAAAATTACTTTAACAATATGAATCCCTTTTATCTATATTGACCTTGGATAAATTGTACCAGAGGGATTGATGGCAAATCCAAATTTATGCAAATATTCAATCCATACATACATTGCAAATAAAAGCTCCAAAAAGGTATTCATAGCACAAAGGAAAAAGGGTTCATAAGACAATAACCCTAGAATAGAATACTTTTGAAGATGACCACAACTAGATAAAGTAGTACTAGTTAAAACATGATTATTCAGCCCGGCTACATCTCACTGATGAGCCACAATGCTACTAGTAAATTGTTTTGACACGACACAACTGTAAGTCATAAGAAAACCACCAATAACAACTAACTTAACCAAAAGCACTACTCCATAGACCAGAATCGTTCATGGGGTTCTCATAACATGGGTGCGTATGTTCGCAAGGTCTCAATCCAAAGGAGGCAGCTCTTAGGTCGTTCTGGATGATCGATATGCCCAGCCTCTTTTGCGATCCAGATGAAATCACCAGGTCAATCTTTTCAGGATCAGATAACAATGTAATGTCCTTCAAGAAATAAAAGATGATAAAGGGACTGGTCATGGTAAAAGAAAATTACGCTACAACATGAAAAGAGGAAATAGAAACCTGGATCAAGCCTGCGAAATTTCGTGAGCATTGCTCAGTCGCAGCGGCAGCAACCACGACTCCGAGCGCACTGGTGCAGGCTTTTCGCACCCCACCTTCCTGCACCAGTATCGGGGAAGAGTTGATTGATTGCTATTCAGAGTCATCATAAACTTCTCCATCATCAGAAAACTCATCGAATGACCTCATATCAAGCTGGTAGCGAAGAATTCCTCCAATGCCACCAAAACCACGGCAGAACTGTGACCCCTCCTGTGATTTGTTGGTGACGAACTCAAGAGTACAACCAAACCGCCTGTACTCATTAGCAAACCACTCCAACAGGGCCATCTTGTCCTGAACCTCTAATTCAGCGTTGGCAGAATCCCGGAAGTTGCTCTGATTGTTTTCCTGGTCCTTGTTGAAATGTTTAACTATAATCTCACCAGTAGTGGTATTTTTTAGCACATACCTATTGATGTCCAAACTTTCCCACACAATAAGAATCTCAACAGCACCCATCTCCAGAGCTTTCAGTGTGTCATCCACACCAAAAACATACTTTCCTGTGTCCTGGCTAATCTCCTCAAAGTATTTTCCTATCAAGCGCTTTTCCTGTATAAACTTCACGTTGGACAGAATCTCGGATGACAGCTCAATAGCCTGATTGAAACCATTCTCCCCTCCATAAGAAACATCCACCACATTCAGTATTTTGGCTTGCAGACGGGGATCAAACATATCTGACTGACTAAGCTCAGTCTTGAAGTCAGCGGACCCAGCCAATATTAATCCTGAAACATTGGGCTGGCTGGTGGCAGGATTAATATAGAACTGTGTGGCAAGCTCTGCTGTCTTCCTAACATAGTTGTGGCGCTTCTCCATTCGAAGACGAGCAAAACGTAGAGCTGACTGCCCTCCTCTTCCGTGCTTCTTTGGGAGGTCCACACTAAATTTATGAAGCACTTCCCTAGTGTTGCCACTTAATGTCCCAAAAAGTGTCCCATTACCATCCATGACAATGAAACCAAATTTGTCATCAGATTCTAAGAGTTCATTCAGAGCTTCAATATGAAACTTGTTGTCACAGAGGTAAAGAGACGCATTGATTGGCCTGAAAGGCTCAAAATCAATTGTGACCTTTTTCTCCTTCCCATCATCAGTTACAATTGTTCCCGTGTACAGCACAAGCCCATTAGGAGGAACCTTGTTGTAAAGCTTGAGCCTCTGCTGAGCAGATGTAATTGCACCAAGAACAGACTGACGATTCACCCTACTCTTGATGTTTGAAGCAGTTCCAAATTCATCACCAAGCATCTTAGTAACACGAGAGATTTGATCCCGGGGAGGCATGATGAGAGAAATCATGCTGGTTCCATTTCCCCTTGCAGCTTCAAGAGCCTTGATCAGTTTCTTGATCTTCCATATCTCGATGTTCTTATCAGTCTCATGACCATCTGCCATTCTGAGGAATCACAGCAACAGCTGAAATAACAATTGATGGCCTGCAAGATACCATATATTTAGCGCAAAGGTTTCAAAAACAATGAAACCAGAGGAAATAAAGTAAACAAAAATAAGACAGAAAAAGAAAAGAAAAAAGAAAAAAGGGTCACTCAATTCACATAGATTTGGAGAACAAGACATAGAGCCATGCAATTCAGATTAAAAGGAGTAAGAAAGCAGACTACATAAACATGTTACCAGTAATTCTGAGAGTCATACAATCTAACTCGTAACTTTATAACATATCAGAAGGCCTCCACACCTATAAACTTCATACAATTTATCCAAAACAAGCCATAGCATTTATGTCAACAACAAAAGTTAAGAAAGGGACAAATCAAATGATTTCATCTACGACTATTATGCGTATGAGATGCATACAAATGTCCAAAACCACACATCCCTCCACACAAATTAAGGACATCCAGCTAAAAAGGATATGTATGTGAAATCAAACAAAGAGAAAGAACAATTATATGGCAAATCTAATAAACAATCCAACTACAAAATTCAACACGAGAGAAAATAATAGTAAAAAAACGCAATCATATGTGTGGATCCGCAAGACTATCTCAACAATCATATGTGTGAATCCGCAAGACTATCTCAACAATCATATGTGTGAATCCGCAAGAACTAACTTATAAATAAATAAACGCCTATTGACTGCATAAATTTAAAGGAAATTGTCAATCAAGCCATGAATTCTCACACGAAATACATAAACGCAAACTCGCAGAATCAGGTAAATTCGACGGAAAACAATCAGCAGATCCAAAACAATTGAGAGAAGAAATCGCATAAGCCTGAAAACGAAAAACCCAAAAAGAAGAGAAAATTGAAGATGAGAAAAAGGGGAAAGGAGCACCTGATGGGAAAGCACGCAGCCGCGAGAGTCGAGAGAAGATACCAGCGGACGATATTTTCTTACACTAAGGGAGAGGAGAGATGAAGGCGGCTCTCTTAATATATAGCAAGTCCCCTGGTGCTGGAGCCGATGGGCCTAACCCTAACCCAGGTTTTGAACCATGGTTGGATTAAATCAACTCGTCCGGTCCACCACCCATTTGGAATTTTGGAATTTTGGAATTTTATGACCAACGTTACTTCGTCGCGGGGAATTTTCACTCGCTACACGACCGACTACTGGACTGGACTACACGCTACACCAAGTAGTCGTATGTTCAACGCTTTGGGTCGGGGTGCTCTCTAGTAGACACGTCACCAGTTTTCAACCAGGACTTATCTTGGGCTTCATTTGCCAACTAAACCCACCTTGAGTTTAATGGGTTTTCTTTTTCGTTTTCTGTAGGATAATGGGGATTTTTATTTAGGCGAAGGCTCAGGTGGGAACTTCTTTTTGCAAACCTCTTTTTGCGGCTCCATCTCAGCCATTTAAGTGATCTCAATCGGGTACGCTGCAATTTCTCCTTTGCCACTCGCACCTTTTCTTCTTCCTTCCTTCCGCCATTAATTGTTTTTTGAATTAAAACTACAAACCCCAAAATCTGACAACCCAAATACCCAAAAGCTCATAACTCCACCCAAAAACCAGATTTGTTTTCATTTGGGGAGAATATTAGAACCCAAAATCTCATAACTCTATTTCTCAACTTCTCCGTGATCGAGTGTTGCCTCTGACATCAAAACCCGTTCCAGTGGCGCATTCCATCCTTCGTCCTCCCTAATCGGGTGTTGCCTATGATATCAAAGAATCATCAGCGGTTTGTCCAAAATTAGAAGTCCCAACATTTGCATTTCTGAACTTCTCCGAAATCGACTTCTTATCTTTCAAAGAATCATCAGCCAATTCCGTGGTAAGTGAACTGCAAGTCTTCCTCTCATCAATTTTATCGCCAATTTCTTTTTCAACAAGTTTATATTGTATATAATTTTTTATTGTACTCCCTTAACAAACCAAATGTTTTAGAACCCTAATAGAGTAATAGAAGCAATGGAGTTTATGGATAGGGGTGTGTTTTTATCATAGTGTGAGTAGCATTGATATGGGTATGTGCTTATTATATTGTGAGTATTATGGACATGGGTATCAGATTCTGTATCTGAATGTGTTGATAATAATGTGAATAGTATGAATATGGGTATCCGTTTTGTATCTTGCTAATAGGTGAATAGTATGGATTTGGTTATCAGATTGTATATCCAAAGGTGTTGATAATAGTGTGAATAGTATGGATTTGGGTATCATATGAGCATCTTAATGTGTTGATTGTAGTGTTAGTATGGATATGGGTTGAGATTTATGTATCTGAATCTCTTGATAATTGTGTAAGTAGTATGGATATGGATATCATATGAATATGTTAATGTGTTGATTATAGTGTGAGTAATATGGATATTGGTATCCAATTCTGTATCTGAATGTATTGATAATAATGTGAGTGGTATGAGTTTGGGTATCATATTAGTATGTTAATGTGTTGCTTGTAGTGTGAGTAGTATAGATATGGATATATATTAACTTGGGCAAATGGTGTATGTTGCAGGTATAAAATGGAATTTGGGTTCGAATTGTGTTTTCCTGAATCATAGGTGTACTCGGCAAGGGTGAATAATTTGTGTGTGCTGAGTACAGTACTGTCTAATTTTACATTGCAATTCAATGATGAACATACGAGAAGATTTAGAGGGACCTGCTTTGGGCACTTGATGGACATGGATAGAATTCAATTTAGTGGTCAAATGGTGCATGGGCTAGCCCTTTGGCGCGTCGCTGGACGTGGTGTGAAGGACATGCATGGGTTTAGCTATGCAATGGGGTCCAACGTGGTGCAGTTCACTGCAAAAGACTTGTCTAGTTGGTGGTCTGATTGTGCTTCCTAATGTATCTGAAAGGTGGGTGAAGTAGTGGTTTGGGTTTCTTTACCCCTTACCTGTTTACCACTTTACAAACAAAAGTGATTATAAGCATTGAAAACAAAGGAAACTCGGGAAACAATAAATCATACAATAACCATGAAATCACTTCCCAATTTATCTGAAAGCTGAGTGTAGTAGTGGTTTGGGTTTCTTCATCCCTTACCAGTTGATCACTTTACAACAGAAGTGCGTATCTGTTGAAAACAAAGGATTCCTATTTGTAATTAGAAACTTGAAATGATATTCATATTTGAAAGTAAAAACAGTTCTTACATTTTCATGAAATTCACTGCTAAATTCACAACGGATACAACTAACAACACTACCAACATATCTTTCATGGTTTTCACTATATGGATTATGTCAGCAGATGTTTTAAGTTCCTTGGCATTAGGCAAATCGTTGGGCTGTTGAAGGTGAGATTCACTTGGCATGGTGGCTGCAGTCACCCATTCATATCCACTGCAACCTAGTAGCTCCCTAAAAATAACCGGAATACAACATAATATGTTACATTTTTCAGTTTGGGAAGAAAATTTATTTGGAGACCAAACGAGACCAAACACTTACATATAACGTGAAACACTTCCAATATGGTCTGCCCAAATTCCTTTCGGATTTGGAAATGAACATGACCATCTTAGCACTACAGTGTCGACACCTCTTTGGCTGAGTGTTGGCTGAAGAAGTCGACATTGCCGAAAATGAAATGTCTGGATTGCATATCTCGACTATATCCATAGAAGATTGTGGAAAGAAAATAAAATAAGTTTAAATACAAAACATAAACAAAACAAGAATACAACACAGGAGGACCACGTGTTCTCTCAAAAAGGAAACTTCTCATCGGGTTGGGGTGATGGTGCACGTGTTCATTGACTGGTAATCCTGAAAGCAGTTCACCATGTATCACAGAGGTGGCTTTGGGCTTGGTTTCAGTTTCTTAATCCTTTAACCATTGAGAGTCCAGACGACAGCATTGGGGGTTGATCAACACATCTTCACAAACATAATCTCATAGGGCTCGTTTGGTACAAGGGACTGTCATGGACTGGATTAAATTCTGGGATTGTCTTGGATTGGCTTGGCATGGCCTAAATTGAATAACACTTGTACTACGTTTGATTGGACTAGGACTAAATTATTTTAAAATATTTTTCTTGAAAAGTAAGTTTTTAAAAATATTTTTTTAAACTTTTCTTGTCTCTGTCCAGATCTCCGTCAGCCACTTTCCCCTTCCCCATCTTGGACCTCCAACAACCCCACCCTACCCACCATTCGCAACAAATCTCAAAGCGAGTCGGTGATGACGAGTCAAAATCTTTGGTTTGATTGGCGCCATGAGATCTCTGCGTTGCACAGAGGAGAGAATCGTGTGGAGGTCGTCTGCTGGGTTTCTTCAATTTAATCATTTTTGTTTGACTGGGTTTCGATAATTGAAAAGGAGAAATTGAGTTTCATGACTAAAAGAAATACAATCACTTTTTCTTTTTTTTTGGGTTTGGTTGATTGAAAGAGAAGGAAAGTTGTCTGGCTAAGGATTGATTCAATTAATGGGTTTGGGTTAGCGACTGTTGGAGAGAGGGAAGGGATGAAGTGGGTGGGGTCTGTCGAATAGAGAAGATGAGAGAAAGGCAAAGCCGCTCCAGACCCAGCTTTCTCATACTACTCGAAAGCTGCGGAGGGGAGGGGTATATGGGTTTGTTTGGGATGAGGGAGGAAGAATTTTTTTTATTTTATGAGGTTGTTGCAATGGTGGATTGGGGTTGCTGTGACGGTGGGGTTTTGGATCAGTTGCAGGTGCTTGGGTGATCGGTGGTTGTGGATGGCGCTTGGATGGTCAGTGGTTGCAGGCGCTTGGGTCGGGACCAAGGTCTAAAATATCGATGATATTGGAAATATCGGTAGTCCAAAAACACGGAAATTTCGATGGAAATATCGGGATATTATCGATATCGATAAAAATTGAATAAAAACCAAGGAAATTCTAAGAAAAACTTGGAAACTTTTATTAAAACTTTGGAAAATGTTTATTTAGTCAATTATCTATTAGTTTATCACAAAAAATTAGAAGGAAATGCATTGCCTGATGGATTTAATTGATTTAAGTTGATTATACAGTGAGCTGATGTTGCGTAGATACAGCTGCACCAAAATGGATTCAGCTGCATCCTCAACTTGTGATACTCGCAAGTGCACGAGCCGTTC